AACACCGAAACCAACACCAACCACCACAACAAGGACAATCTCAGTCCCGACGGCAAGCGCAAGAACGGCGGGCAAGGACGAGGACAGCGACAACCACAGCACCACAGCAGCACCGGCACCAGCACCAACAACAAAAAGAAAGACAGTACCAGTACCACTGTCAGTACCACGATTAGAATCATCGTGGCCGAACTTGCTCTTGACGATCTCACCCACACTGCGGCAGCTCGGATGCCTCGCGGCTTCTCGTGGCCACTATAACCTGCTGGACGCCAAATCCAACTCTGTGCGGAGGGCCTCGAACGTTGCCACGGCTCAGGGCTCGAACGACAGAACGTGCCTACGACACTCCGCGGCATCTCGGAGCCTGGAAGTAGTTCTTCTTGTCATCCGGGCAACCGTCCATGTACAGGTAGTAAGCCCGCGTGCGAACGCGGTCCTGATTTCTGTCTGCTGGGTATATAGGCATGGATATACATGACCAGTTTCTTCAACTTTGTTGTCGATCGCTTACAGTCAGATAGGGTCTTTTGTCGCACAGGGTCTTCCGCTAGACAGTGCTCTTTTAGACGAAGCAGTCGGTCCTTCTGCTACTGTTGGACAGGCGTTCTGGAACTGGGTGTGGCTTTCTGCGGCTTATGTTCAGAGAACTGTGGAGTTTATTGGGTCTCTTTATATATTTCGACATCCACTTGTATTTTATATTTTATATATCTACACACGCACATTGACCTGTTTATCTACAAGTACGTGCCTGCACCGCATGCGGGCAAGATGTTCATGAACGCGCATATACCGACATGCTGGAGCAAAGGTTCAGCAAAGTGGAGACCCGAGTCCTTGGCTACGGAACCTGGTGTGCCTCAGGGTTCACCCTGCGGGAACCCTATCAGCACCCATATCTGCATCTGTCTACATCCCTTTCTAATTAATACACGCACACATACACTTCACTGAATGTGCACGTGCTCTGCGCACTGAATAAATGTCGCATGCATATGACTCCAGGCTTGAGGGCAAACCTTAGTAAGGGAACGCCCGTCTGTTGACGGCCCGAATGGTATTGCATGCGTCAAGCGAACGCTCTTTCTCTCTTCTTTCTGCCGGGCTTAGGGCTCGCGAACGACCCGCATGCACTCGGCACGCCCCCACCAATCATGCGCCCATCTGCGAAACCACACGCCATCCCTTGCCGTGTGGAAACGGCCGACGAATTTGGACTCCCACAACTTAAAGGTAACCAGGTAGGGTACTTGGGGATCTGACATATCTGACGATGCGACCTGACGAGGTTTGATACCTGCGCGACCTCACACCGTGGAGTACACAGCTGAACCAAATGCGACATCCCAGTTTCACATAAGGTGTGTGTAGGTGTGTGATTCCTTGAACATTCCGTTGTCCTCGAAGGCCATTGGCACATCACCCTGTGAAATGAACCTGGCCGAGTGGAGATGCTGACTTGAAGCCGCTGGTTCAGCAATTTCAATGCTAGGCTAGCTTGCGGGGCTTGCAGCAGAAACCCTGCGTCCGTGGAAAATGTCTTGTATTCGGTGCCAAGAGGCTGTTCTAAATCCTCGAGGTGCCTTTGATGCCTGACAGAAAGGCTTCTCTCAGCATGTCGGCCGGCTACCGTGCAGAGCCATCAAGTGAGCCACAGCCACTGTCCGGGCCGCCTGTCGCGGTCTTCCTTCCCTTGAAGCCATTGTTGAACTCGCACAGCAAAGACGTCACCATATGCGACTGACAGTTCCTGTAGTGCCTGGCACGACCGAACATTAATCATTAGGCCACTTTGTCTGTGCTTCTCCGGCCGGTCGTCATGGAAGGTCATGGAAGATCATGGAAGTCTCTCGCTGAAGTGTTCCCGACCACCCCACCGCCTCGGAGACCGTCTGTGACGAAACTTCGTCGTGCTCCTGCGAAGCAGCTCGTAGCAATTGCACAAGGTTCCTCAGACCTAGCTTCAAGAACACTCCGCTCGAAGCAGAAACGATGCCACAGAAACTTCGCCTCTGGCCCTGAAGAAGTGGATGACAAGTCTTCGAAGTCTGTCGACGTAGACCTCTCAGAAAACGTCGACTTCATCACCTCAACAGACTCAATTCAACAGCTGCCAGTCGTGTCAATGATCGCCTCACAAGCCGTCTCCCCTCCCGCTTTTAAACTTTGCCGCTGCTGAGCCACGGCATCCTCCACGAGCTCCTGACATGCGGACTCATATGGGCGGTTCCATCATGCACCATCCAAGAATGCCCTGGGACGTGGATCCGTAACGGTGTGATACAGTCGCAGTTTTGCGTTATGTGCTGCTGTTAGCTGTCATTTCTATCGCTCTCTCGCCGGGGCGTCGGGAGCACCTGAAGCATTCTTCAGGGTACAGGGCGAACCCCTGCCCTGGCCTGAAGGCCTCAAGGCCTATACCCCCACGGTACCTGTGTGCGACTGTCTTGCAGGCCCTCCCAAATCCCCCAGCAACCCGTTCTAAAGACCACACCACAGTACAGTCACAGACGGGTCTTCCTGTATTCCAAGAACTACCTCGCAGGCAGTCATATCATCTAAAACAGCCAACTGGACATGTCCAGGCTACTTTCCCCGTGCTCTGCGGCCTCCAACTGAGTCGGTTTCTACTCAGTCGGGTTGTCTTTTGAAGGCAAGCTCGACTCCCCCGACTGGAAACAGTGACGCTGGCATCTGACAAAAACCCCACCCTGCCAACTCCATCCCTCTGGGTGCAGCACATCGCAACAAGCACCGCTGGAAGCAAAAAAAATACAGGCTTCATTCGCTTCCGACATGTGTCTGCAAGGGCCCCCTTACATACCCAAGCTCGTTGTCGAGCGTTTCCCTGCGTGTATGACCCCCCAGTCCACCTGAGGTGCTCCCCGCTTCCCGAGCCTACCCAAACTTCCGGCGGCCCATCTAATCATCTTGGTTCAGGGATACGACTGCGGCATCTACGGTCCCTGGCCTCACTGTGATGGCAGGGGTCACGGCTGGTCGGGTAACTGGCCGCCGCTTCACCGGCCTTCGTCTCTCCCGCCCCCACTCTGATAGCAAAGCTCTGTTGAGTGGCCGCCCCTTCATTGCCCTACATCTTCTCGGTGACCTTGTGTCTTCGGTGTCTCTTTGTCCCAAGCAAAGCAGCCCCAACCCTACTGTTCCGCTTTCAGGGAGCGCGCAACGACTTCTTGCGGCCGTAGGACAAGAGCCGACAAGTGCCGCCATCCCCGGCCAACAAAAAGCACCCAATGGCCAGGCCACCTCGACCACCCAGCCAGAACGAAGCCGGAGCCCGACAACACCCCTGGCAGCCGATATGAGCAACGCATGCCACAATGTATACTGGTGTTGCATTCCCGAAGCTCCTGCACATCGTGTGGGTTTGGCTGAGGACTCCGGAGGACTCGGTGGTGGGGTTCATGTGGCGAGGGGGGAGCTCGAGTGCGGACGGGGACGCGGCACCTGCTGTAGACTCCAGGAACCCGAACCCGCGGACAGTAGGAGAGATCATTCAAGATTCGCTCCAACGGTCGACGAAATACGGCCGCTTGCCCGGTCGAATGGCTCAGACAAAGATCCCGTTCCTTGGATCCACTGACCTGTTTTCTTCCAGCTTCGTCTTTTGCTTCTTGAAAGGTACGGCGCAAACTGAAACTGCGCACGGCACAGCGTACTACGTACTATGTGCTACATACTATGTAGTACGTACGTATGTACTGCTACCGTCGCCACGACGACGGCCAGGACTACTGCACTGCATGCTGCTACTGCTACTTGCTGCTGCTCCTGATACTGCCACTGCCACCGCCCCGCCACCGCTGCAACAGCCACAACGACGAGTACTACAACTTCGTCTACTTGTAAACAGGATTGCCACATCCTTGTTTGTGCCCACCCCACCCCTGTCTGTACAGCAGGGACGCGAACGCGGGGACGCCTACCCCTTGAGGACAGCCTGCAGGTTCTGTTCACACCCCCCATTGAGGAGAAGCGCCACAGTGATTGTTCTGAACCACCAAACGAACTTAAGTGGGCATGAGGCATTGCCACAAGCGTTCACCTTCTGCACCCTGGTCGGGGCTTTTACGCCTCCAACCACGGCGCCTCCTTGCGGCCGTTCTATGGTCTTCGACAAGCCCATTTCTCCCCTGTCGTGAAGCCGTGCGGTCCTCCCGCGAAAGGTTGTTTCGGCGCCACCAGCAAGGCCCATGCAGTATGCTTGGTGCTGCCTGCACTACCAGCTCTCAGTGCCATGCAATAGCATGCATGGAGTCCGTCATGTCTCAGATGGACAGGCTTCGACCAGTCTAATCTTCAGCTTTGCCGGTTCCTCCGTTGTCAAGACATTGCAGCCTAGCGGCAGTCGTCTTAAAAGGCGAATGCCACTGAGTGACAAGCGCGGCGCGTCTCAATTGCTCCATCTGGCAGGCTTCCAGCGCTAGCCATGCGCTTAGTGACTTAGTGCCGGCTAAGTCTATGTCATGCGCGTGACACGACACATAATGACAAACGAAGATGCCCGGTCTCTTGCCCTGCCTCCGCGTCCAAGGCCTTGCAGCTCAAATGTGCTGGTGCTGCGCCTTCAAACCGCCGCACGAAGTCTTGCACGCAGCGGTGCGGAACCTTGTCTGCCATCAATTGCTGCAGTGTGGAGCTCAGGAGGACTTGCTCAAGCATGCACTTCAGTACCCCAGTCTGTCCACAGTGAAGAGCAGTGCCAGCGAACCTCATGCTTCCCTGTACCTCTGCACACTGCCACGCGACAGGAGCACGGGCTGCAGCAATCATTCTTGCTCAGTCTGTACTGGCAAGGAAACGTCCTATGAAATTGATCCACAAATGCCGCGTGGCCGGCTACACTGGTTAATTTGCACACACGCGTGTACTTCCTCTTTGTCATCAGTTCAGGTCGCGACAGCAACTCGAATTAAATGTGATCAAAGCCCCGTGTTCATCGGGTTGGCTTGGTGAGTAGTGATGCAGTTGCATCGCGCCTGGACGAAAACCCGTCCTGTCACCTCAGTTCGGGATGGCCGAAAGCATCTAAGCGATCACGACACAGACATGCAAGCATGCTGCCGCCGAAAAGAGCATCCGATCTCAATATCTCCAGAACACCAAGGAATCGTGAGATCTTTTTGCTTGCATGCATTCGCATTCCCGCAAAGCACTTTTGTGCTTGCACCTCGTGTCGTCTGCACACTCATTGACTCATTCGCGAGGGGGCGGCACAACTGTCTACACGCTCATCTACATTTTACTATCAAGGAGCAGACTCGTCCAGCATACATCAGCGATGATAAGCCTATCAGCCTACCGCCCCTTTGTGCGGGCCACGTCAGATCTTGAAGCTGCACGGAACCTGCCCAGGAGACTCGGCTCACTCGCTCCTTCGCTGAGGCGAGCCGACGAGCCTCATGCATCCTGCTCTTCTTGCTCTGTCTGCAGCTCTTTCAGCTGCTGCGTCAGACTGGCAACCTGAAATTTGGCTCTTTGCACACTGCGGAAAGGCAGAAATGGGCCGCAGAGTGGCATGCCCGAAACAGGTGCCTTGGCTTCGAGTTCAGCATTCTGTCGCCTGAGTTCGTCGTTGTCTGCACGGAGCTCTTCCACGTCCACACCTGGGTTTTTCTCTCTCTCGCTCTCTCTGCAACTGCGTCCTAACGGTCCCACTGCGCCAGGCAATACCCGCCAACTGGGCGGGTTTGAAACAGCGTCACAGTCACACGCCATGCCACACCTTCCCTAGCCCTAGCCAATTTGTAACCGATCTCCGAAAATCTGTCCACGTGACCGTGGGGAACGCGTTACCGCCAGGCCTGTCGGGGCTCCCAAGTACTTTTTGATGTAGTCGATGGCCTTGGCACATGAACACTGTCGGACACTGTGGCAGTCGTGACGGCAAAGTCGGCAACATGTAGGTGTCAGGTCTTGCCAAGCTGCGTTTGCTGGTCTCTCAGGTTCCTCGTAGAGGCCAACAAGAACTCGTGTAAGCTGTGAGATGATGCCATTCTTCCTGAGTTTGCTGAGGCACAGAGCCCAATTCCGCTATGCTTCGCACGACTACGACATAATAGCACAAAGGATGGAGAAAAAACGACAGGAAACGACAAGAAGAACGGGCAGGCCTAGCATTTACTTGCTTTCGATTTTTCAATGAACACTAGAGTCGTTCATACTCGGTCAAAGCTGCTCCAGGTACTTTCGGAATTCCTCCTTTTGCGAATCAGCTGTCTCGTAGCTCATGGCTTCGAACTAGTCCCCTTTGCGTGGCGGCGAAGCTTTCAGTCCCGCAAGCAGTGCATACAGCTTGGGCCATGGCACAGATGAACAGACTGAGCACAGCATGAAAAACAGTTCACAGGGAGCTTCTCACGAAGGCAGGAACCTCTTGCGAAGGTAGCCGTAGCTCTAGATCCTAGGCAAGCATGCATGGCTGAGTAAAGCGCGAAAATCCCGTCACACTGAGCACCGCACCATCACAGGACCAGTCAGCGATCCACCAGATTTGGAGGCACAAAGCGATTCTGAAGCCCTGCGTGCATAAAGCAACCCGGCAGCTCATATCACAGTCGTCATGCTCTCGTGCACCACAAGCTTGTGGAAAATCTCTAAAGAGCTCTCTAGGTTGCAGACGTAGGGTCGCCCAGCAACGCTTCTACCGACACCTGCGCAGCGCCTGGCGTATTGGAATCCATGCTGCGATGTGTTTTCCACGCATGTCACGAAGTGCAGGAAGGCTTGTGCGAGGAAATGGCATGCCATGGCCGCCGCAGAAGGTCGGGCGACCGATCACGTTGCCTTCCATGACCTGAACTCAGTGGCACCGGCCGCGCTGCTTGGAATGAAAGCATGGCACCGGCCGCCTGGAACTCCACAGTGGCTGCTGAGCCCATTTTGAAAGGCTGCCCTCGGCAAGTATGATCCTGGGGAAGAGGCTGGCAGCCTGGAATTAGCCTCTAAGCAGGCAAGTGGAGACTCAGGAGCTCGCCCAGTGTGGATGCATGTCAGCATTCCAGTCTGTGCGTGTCCGTGAAATCTCTTTCCGGGCCTTGACATTAAGACATTGCCGGAGTACAGTGTAACTCCTCACGATCTGAGAAGCAAGCTCCATCGCTCTCGATGAAAGATACGACGGTGAAGGGATCCATCTTGCCATAAGCATCCTGAGCAGCCTTAAATAGCCCTAAATTCGTTCTGTAGCGATTATGAGGTCGACATAAGAGCATGGACTTCAAGCTTTCGTGGTGGCCCAGTGCGAATCTTTTTCCACCGTCCGAAGCGACCTCTGATACCGCCGCCGACTTCCTCGACCAGCGCAGGGCTTGCCTTGCTTACTAGCTGCGGTGATGGCTGTTGGACGCGATGCGACCGACATCATATCCAATAAAGCTTGGAAACGCTGAGAACCGGTGCAAAGGTTTTGTTGATTGCCAGGAACACAAGACAAGACGTGCTTGTTATCTGTACCAGGCACAGAAGTGTCAAGCGCGGCCGACGGAAAGACGAGGGTACCAAGGCGGGCGCTAATCGCTTGAAGATAGCGATGACGATCGCGGTTCCGACCTCTTTTGGGCTCCAGGAGAACAATCAGTAAATAAGATGACGACATGTGCCGCAAAACGGTGGTAAACAACCCAAAGTCCGAGAAGGGCTTTGGCATGAGATCTCAGGCAAGGGCAGGGGTCAAAGGCGCGACGATGATGAGGCCAATCGGAATGAACAGAAAAATGTCCTTCGCCGTGCGGCGCAGGACGTCGCACTCAACCTTGGAGAAGCCCAGAAACTTGCGTCGCTTGCTTTCCTTGTTCTGCAGGCTTTGCAGCAAAGCTCCTGAATATACGACGTCCTGACTGATCATGGAGACACTGTCCACAACCTCCCGTACTTCCTTGCGCGCGATCGCAGCGGCGTAGCGGCAGATGGGCCCGATCGCAACAGCGGGCTTTGCCAGATCCTCCTCAAAGCGCGTAGAGTTGGTGTAAGCAGTGAGTGTTTGCACGAACTCGACGAACTCGGGCTTGGTGACAGCACCATCTCTGTCAGAAGCTATCTGAAGGACGAGCCCCAATGCGTCTAAGAAAGGCTCGCTGCTTTTGCGACTGACCTCTTCCCAGAGTGGCCAAAGAATGGAAAACACTTCTCCATACGTTAGAGTTCCACTGCCTTCGTCAAATTGCTCGAAAAGCTTCTCCGGCTCTCGTTCCAGCTTCTTCAGCGTGAGTGCCTTCTGCTCCGATTTGAAAGTACCTCCTTTTCCGAGCTGTCGCTGTCGGTCTTCTAGCCGCTGCCAGCCCTGGTAGGCTCGCCGCCGCTGTTTGGCTGCAATGGCCGCCCAAGCGCGGGCAAACCTTCGCCGCGGCTTTCTTAATGAGGTCGGGAAGAGCGAATAAGGCGCGTTTGAATAGAGCAACATGCCCATGAGCATCTTCTGCCCATAAGTGCACTTGGTCAGAGCGATGGCGCAGTACGGCAAGCACGCAGACAAGTCTTTGAAAGTCCGCTTTAGTATCGCGCGCTCCATGTTGGAGAGCTTGTGTCTGAACGCGAGCTTCTTCAGCAGATGCACGCCATACCGCAGATCGCGCAGTAGTGTAAACGCGCTGTCAGAGACGTCGCGTGCGAATCTCGTCACTTTATTGTCGGCACGAAGAGCGCTGGCCTTGTAGTTGTTGGCAACTTCAACCAACGTTTCGATGTATTCGGTGAATTCGCCGAGCGTGAGGCAACCTTCACGGCGGCGGTCTACAGCAACCAGAAGCGTCGACCTGCGCAACAGGAACCGTCAATGATTATGGCTCTGCAAACATCTTGCCGGAGTTATTACCAGTAGCACCAACAAACCAAAACTCGAGACGATGCGACACCAAAACTTGTCGCACGTGCTGTTGGTTTGCATCGTGCGATCCGTCTCTAAGTGCCAGGCGCATCCATGCGAAAATCCTCCATGTTCTTCTTCGCAAGGTTCAGCCGTCCGCTCCAAATAGCTTGCACAATGCTCAGCACACTGCCTTGCAGAGTCCAATCCATAACCACAACCCTGCTTTTTGCGTATCGTTGACCCCCTAAGCCCAGGGCTGTGCGAGACATTGCCACCTGCAGATGCATCCAGATCCTGGCACAGCGCGCTTCCGAGAGCTTCGGTTCTCTTCTGCCCCGGCTTCCGGCGTTCCGGGTGAGGGCAATCCCCTCAAGTTCCGTCACATCCCTGCTCAGCACACCTCCTATGCATATTATAAAGAAGGTCGCACGGCCCCATTCGCACAACAACACTAGTGGGAACCGGTAGCCCTGTGTTGATGCGGGAGTGGACTTAGCGAGGGCAACAAAAACTCGCAGGAGGCCAACATTCAGGTGAGCATGAAAGCGAGGCTTCGCACTTCGCAAGCTCTACAATCTCTTTCGCGTGATGCAGAGAGCCCAACCAAGCTCTGAAAAGTTGCGACTGAAACCTGCACGCCTCGAAGAGCTTTCGAATGCCCGACTGCGCCGTCGCAGAATCTGGTGGAGCTTCGAAGATCTCGAGGACCGCAGCGTCGAGCTCCTTCCAAGATCACTCTGATTCTGTTGCCTGCTTTCTTGCCTCTATTGCGGCCAGCCCGGCCTCAGAAGGTTCCTCGCCGTAGAGCGTCCAGTCCTCAAAGGCAGGCGAGACGAGTTTAGTTGACTTCTTAAGAAGCATCTTCAGGCTTCAGCAGCAAATGCAGCAATCGCAGCTCCCCTCCGTCAGCCGTCAGCGCTAGCGCTCCTTGAAGTCCGGGTCCTGGCGCAGCTCGCGCCTCGCAGCGAGGAGCTGGAGCCTCGAAGGGTAGAACGGGGACGGCAAAAGCGCCGGGGCCGAGGACTTGATCACCAGAAAGAGGCAAACCTCGGTTCAGGCAAAACCAAATCGAGAGTGCAATCAGACCTTCGAGCCTTTCAGGCCCCCTTCACGCATCAGACTCGCTTGCTAAATGGCGGATTCTGGAGCATGAAGCCACGAACGGCCACACTTCGATTAGCCGATAGAAAGAATCCAGAGCACCAACCGAAGGTATGGCATTGAAGCCTGGCAAACACCTGTAGTGTACCCAATTTATCTTTTGGAGACTTATCCTTGGAGTGCAGCTGTGCAACGTGCACCGGCAACGGCAAAGGTAGAGCGCAGATCGCCGTGGAAGGAACCAGAGCGATGACATCACTAAAGAAACGTCGAAGTAAGTAGTTCTCCCACTCGTGTAAGTCTCGTCCCTGGCAGACTTTGGCCAGGAGACCGCAGCTGAACCTCCCCAAGGCTGTCCCAACAGCCGCCACACAATGCACGCAAAGTGTGTTGCGAGGATTTGAGACATCGATTCGATATTATCGATCGCGTGGCCGAATGCCGGCACACAAGCGTAGGATGGGTAATCATCACGGCGTACCTACGCATGATGACGTATGTTAGTGCACGCGCACATACATAACGACCATCACCAGCAACAAATCATTATGAAGAACGATGCCTGTGCAATTTGTAAGGACAAACAGACCGACAGACTGCACAATGCAACATCAACAAACCATCTCTACTCTATGTCCGAAAAATCTCAATCAACACGATGGATGACTCGTGCAATCCCTTGTGCGCCCCGCATTGGAGCACAACCCCCTTGACAGATCGGTACAGTGGGATCATGTGGGATCAGTGTGATCCAGCACTATCCCTGGAATCTCACCTTCATCAAGCGCTCACGAAACATCTGCGCACTCTTCGGAAACGTTCAACCGAACAAACAATCGAAAGAAGCGCATGTACATTCGGCCTCAGTCCTTTACGAATCGGTCCGACTAGCAGAATAGGCAATCCAAGCATGCCGGTGCAATATGGGATATTGTTCCATTGCAATCAGAAACCGAGCCATGTCAGATTTCCGAAGAAGTCACGAGGTGCACATGCGCTTGGGCTGCATTCTACTGCGAAACATTTAATTTTGTCGGGCAGTCCCTCAGCAACTCCATAGTTCACGTGAAAGAACAGCAACCTACAAACTTCCGAAGCATGAAGCCCACCTAAATTGTGGCATCGGGTTGAGCTTCTTCGTTGACCCTTCCGCCTTTCCGGGGATGATTGGCATTCTCACCGGCTTGTGCCGTCTTGCGTGCTGTGTCTTGGGCCACAACTCTCCATGCAAGATTTTTCGACTTTGACCCCATTGCCCGCCAGAGTCCAAACGGGAGCTTCGCCGAGCGAGTGCCCTTCTTGGATATGGTTCGTGGAACTTTGGGCTGCTCGACCGCAAAACGCAAGAACGTCAATTATGCGCTGCGTCACGTGCGGTGACGTGTTGAAGGGCCGTTTAGGATTCTGTGTCCCTGTTCTGAGCCCACTGGCACAAGAACAGGGATTCACCCACATGGGAAGAATCGATATGCGTGAAAATCAATGTATGTCCCAACATCCTTCTTTCAGTAGAATTGAATCAAGCTGGGCACCTATAAAAACGAAAACTCTACACGTACAAAAACGGACGGTATCTCTCCGGGGTTGTAGCGAGGCCGTGCTTTCCCATTTAAGAGCATGTGTTCTGTCTTCAAACGTAAACACGGATAGATTCCACATCTCAGCAAACAGGATATGAAATGAGAGATACAGCGAGAAAGGGCACTCGCTGGGTCAAGCTTCCGTTTTGGGCAGGCAATACGCTCAAAATCGAAAAATACTTGCATGGAGAGTGTGGCCAAAGACACGGCAAGCAAGACAGCTGAAGCCGGTCAGAATGCCAATCAGCCCTGCGACATGTTCAGACCGGTCAGCCCGGGCGCGTCTACGAACATGGCATGCGTGCATGTGTGTGTATGTGTGTATGTATATATTTATACACGTATATAGATATATCATGATATATATGTGTATATGTGTATATGTGTATATGTGGCTGATGTTATCACCCCCCCCCCCACCCCCACCCATCCGCATTTCGTGATCTCGGACAGTCACCACTTCACCATTTGACCATTGATTTCCCCCACATCCCACATGGTCAGGCCAGTTCACCATTTCACCATTCACATCCCCCATATGGTTGACCATTTCACCATTGGCTTCCCCCATACGGTCACGCCGTTTCGTTTCCCCCATATGGTCAGGCCGGTTCACCATTTCACGATTCATTTCCCCCACATGGTCAGACCTAATTGGTGAAATGGTGAAATGGTTTCTCGCTCGTTGCACTCCGCAGCCGTAGGCTCCGCATGCACTTAATTAGAAAACCCCGGATGGACGCCATCCGGCGGGTGCCCTGTTCCTTTGGAAACAGGTTTCAGGCTGTACCCTCCTTGGCTGGACGCCAGCCAGCAGGCTTTTGGAGCCGCGTTGGTCCCCCTCTTCGTCTCGCATTAGCCTCCGCGAAGCCATTCTGAGATGCTCCCCTAATTGCGCCACGCCTTGCTGGCTGAGGAACCCAGCAAACCGCCCCGCTTGGGAAGCAAAGTGCTCAAAGAGAGCCTGTAGCCTTTCTGTGGTGCGCGCCTTTAACTGTCGTAGCAGCTCCGGCTCACGTTGGGCCAAAAGCCGTTCAAGGCCGCTGCCGCCACCCCATTGGGGGTATGGCAAGCTTGACCAGCTCCCCAAGTCGTAGAACCGGACACTGTTATCCGTATTCAAGCCCAGGTTGGAGATCGTGATGTCTGCCACCCTGACCCTGCAGGCTCTCAGCCAGGTAACCACGGCCAGCAGGTAGCTGAACCATTCCCTGACTATCGCCGGCGTTTGGGCGTTTAGCCAAGGCTCGGCTTTTCTGTTCACTTTCTCCTGAAACAGACAGTGGAGCACAGCATACTCTGCATGGGAATGCGAACATTCAGGGGCCCCTCGTGCACCACTATAGCACACAGTTTGGTGAACCGGGTGCTGTAGTACTCCTCAGACCCATGGTCGTAGGCAAAAGTTGTGATTTTGAGCACGTAGGAGCCAAAGGAATACACAATCCTCTGGTTGCCCTTGCCTTCCATTGGCATGCGGACCGGTCGTGGTGGGAGCGCCCCCGAAAGTGGGCTTCTGTAGACGACCAAAACGGGCCCCATAAGGTGGTGCATGAGTCGCACGTTTCTCCTATTGGGCTCTCGTTCCACTGCCGCATGGAAACTCGGGCCCTCGTCCCCGCCGGGGACCGTCTGTGTGCCTGTCGTAGGGCCTTTGCCTCTCGACCTCGTCGCTCCCTTCTTCCTCGCCAGCGGCGTCTCTACGCACTGCAGAAGCCGACCGCAACCGCGAGGCATCTGGTTCGGAGTCTGTTGAGTGAGACTTCACTAGGAGGGATCGTCACTATGTCACCAACAAAGCTATACCAACGCATAACGTGACTGTGCTCAAAGACGTATCCTCCCCTCGAAATCCTAGTAGTAGCTCAAACCAGTAAGTAACATAGGACTTCGAGGTTGAAGATGCAGATCGATGGAATACGGGTGTGGGGATATTATACTGGCGCTTTACGAATTGACTTCACATATAATTAAACCGGGATGGTTCAGGCAAGTACGACCTGCTTGAAATCGTTGTTACCACGATTCCTGGTGTCAGCGTATTACCGACTGCAGCTAGTTACACAAGAGCTGTGCTTCTTTGCATAACGGTGAGACTTCAGATGATGTGCAGTCGTCCTATGACGAACAAATATACAACAGGTATGATTATGGTAGAAATGACCCCGTATGACCCCAAGCATGCATATTATTGCTCAACTATAACTATAGTGCATTAACATGCGGATTCCGCTGTGCTCCCACTCACCTCCTCTTTAAGCTTTCCACATCCATGGAGTAATCCTAGTTGGAGGTGTCCAGCCAGGATTATTCCAAGGATCGATGCAGTTGTCCCCAGTATCAACAAGCAGGAGCTGCCGTACTCAGCGCTAACTGAATGTATCCTTGGGGGCTGTAGATTCCAGGCACCATGCAGTGTGCATGTTTCCGTCAGCTTACCATGCGTTAGGGCCAAACTGATTGGTGAAATTGTGAAATTGGTTATGGGTTAAGGACAAACCAATTGGTGAAATGGTGAAATGGTTTAAGGGGTTAGGGCCAAACTGATGGGTGACAAAGTGAAATGGTGAAACTGATGTGCATGAAGGAAAGGAAGGGTGTTTGGGTACCAAACCACTGGAAGGATCAAAACGACTGGAGAAATGGTGACAATGGTCTGTTGGTTTAATGGTTTCGGGCCCTACCCGTCATATAGGTAAACTGAATGTTTGAAGGTTCGGAAAACCTGGGTTTTTTAAACCAATGTGGTGTTTTGTAAACTTTTGGGAGGGTCCCATTGCACAATAAAACATACGAAGCAAGTCTATCCCGTCAGTCATCCAAAATTTCGATTGTTTAGGTGATTCAGGAAGACTGAAACAGCAATGAAACAGTTTAAGAATCTAGGATAACAGATGGTTCTAGATATCCAGCATATATTTGTGTATTGAGCAATGATGCAGGGTTTTTTGTCATGGTCCGCAGACTTAACGGACCATATGCAGTTTCCCGCGGAAAGGCCATGCTGCAGGATCGTTCTCATGATCTGACTGTTGCAGTACATGGAGTTTACAAAAGAGAAGACCATCTTTGTACACACTACGCACATAGGCACTTATATGTCACTCATCCAGGAATCATTGTGTTGAACATGACGTGGCTTTTATCGGGTTTACAATAGCTCAGTACGTGTTGTCAACACAAAATATCAAGCCACGCAGAAACTTGAGATACGACTGACTAGACCTCGTTTGTACAGAGGAACAGTATTTGCGTCAGTTGCAGGGTTTCATCACTTGGTGCACAGACGAATGGTTTGCAACGTTATGTCCAAACTTACATCATTCCAAGGAAGCAGGATTTCGATGAGACAGAACTGATAAGAATATACGTGGCAAACAACCAAACTTACAACTGTTAGGTTTCCTCGCTTGGTAGGTAGAACACTACTAGCAACGCTGTTTCCAATACATGGGGATGAACCCCTTTTGGGGGAGTGACGGGGTGCGCTTAACGTTTTGTCTCTAATGCGGGCAACGACATTCTGGACTGGCACATACTGGGACTATGGCTTCCAATAGGGCTCCGGTCGCGCTCACAAGAACAAAACATGTGTGGCAGTGCGGGTGACCAGCAAAGTCAACAGACCATGCACGCGATAAGGCTGATGCAAGGAGTATTTTGCATCTTCCGGACTGCTGATGATCTCACAATGCGGACAGCTACATGAGGCCTTGTGGCTCGTAGTGGGCTTTACGAGATTGTTCCGATATGCTGATGCAAAAAGCTAGCAAAGTTTTCGTCACTCGGTGTATAAAAATATAGTCAAGTCTAAGAAGCGACACTCTATGTATACTGTCGAACTACGAACAAAGAACTGTACCTGGCATTGCACCGCCAGCTTGGCACTGATTGCACACGTGCAATCTCCTACAATATGTCATGCCGTACGTGTATACGCTGTAAACACAAATGCAGTGGTTATGTTTATTAACGTGTGCACACGAAGAAAAAAGGCATGCACATGCACGCTTGCTATGTTCAGTCGCAAATGTCCTGAAGCTCGTGCCCGAAAACGCTTGGAACCCACCAAAACGAGAATACTTGAATGAATGCGCCTTACATCCCTGCTCAGCATGTCAATGCTGTCCGACACTTCCAGCAGTGCCTTCCCGACTTTGCCTGGGCTTGAAAGCCCTCCAAAAACCCTTTAGAAATACTTAAAAACAAATGAACATTCATGCATACCGTCTATAGCAACTGGGCCTGGGCTCTTGAGTTACCGATAGTTTCCGTACAAACAGAATAGTACTAAGCTTCGCTCAAGAAGCTGAGCGCACTGAGAAGAAATGGCAGTGTGAGTTGCCATGTCGGCCGCTGTACCCACCGGTTCACTGCACCGCCCGCTTTGCCCACGGGGTCAAAGGAATAATTCGTCAAGTTTTGGAAAAAACTGCTCACAACACCATAGCTTCGGCGAAGGGCCGCCTGCCAGTAGCACGGTCTCGCAGGTGGGAGGGGCTTAATTGGACAAAGCCGCCATTCACTAGGAGACACCCGGGCACCTCAACATGCCACGCATGCACATCCCGCTTGGACACCTTGATCACCGTGGCGGCGTATTCTATGAATTCATTCACCGACAGCAAGCCATCCCTGTCACGGTCTGACAGGATAACGAAGGCTGCGAGGTTGTTGTGCAACTCCATCTGCGTCTGCGATGGGAGTTTCAACGGACCTTCCCACGAAGTCTGCCTCAGTACCCGTTCAGGCCATTCGCACTCTGCGCGACAGATTTGCTAAATCCCCTGCTAAAGCTATTGTATCCTACGCTCCCATCAAGCTTCGAGGCATAAATTTGAGAATCCTTGCATAGCTCAGGCCCAAGGTGGTGTTGTCACTTAGCCGATCGAACAGAGCAGCTGCTTTGGAGCGCGCTGCTGAATAGAGCGGCGCCTCTTCAAGGATTTCCAGAACTGATGCATTGGCCCTAATAAGCTCCACCTCCCAGTACTCTGCATCTTCGTTCTTGGGCGCAGCCGTGAGCTCGGAAGCATTGGCAAGCAAAGGCTGCAAGGGTGCACTTTGACTGGACAGTGACTCTGCAGCCTTTGACTGTGCCCTCCGGGATCGTCGCTCCATTCGGCCATCAATTGGTGCTGTGAAATTGCAGGCATGACGGAACAGAAACGTGACGACGAACAAAAGGAGAACATGGCTCAGGGGGCGATGCAGCCGCTTTCTCATCACCAAATGCCCAAATCAAGCCCGTGTCAACTCTGTCCTGTCTGTCACGCTGAAGTCTTACTTGGTTTCGAGTCGGTTTTCTAGGCTGGTGCGGACCCAAACATGCATTTCGTCAAGTGTCCGAGTGCGCACTAGCAAGATCATGTTTCGGCCCGAAGCCCTGCGATCTTGGTGCCGATGCCATTAACGGCATTCACGCTTTGGCTTTAGACTCGAGTAAGCCGGAAAGATTGGCCGGGGATGGCAATGTGAAGCACAAGATTCTGCCCAATGCTGCGTGAAATTGCTGGGCGAGCGGCAAAGCTTCTAGCCAGCTCTGCGCGGAGAACCCTCACCACAGCATAGGTTTCCAATGCCTTACAGCCAAGCATAGCGACAAGTGAAGCTCCATTGCCAGTGGTGGTGTTCCAGTATGTGCAAGTCTTACGACGTCCATGAGTCTACGCTTTTCGTTTGCATAGGTTGCTACATTGCGCTTTGGCAATGTGTCACTGATGTGAGCCTACCTTCTGGGTTGGCGGTCATAGGCAGCGGCACGAGCAGGGAGAGATGCTGCAGAAGGCCTGCCAGCAAGAGCATCAGTGGTAGTTCGGATTGCGACTGCGTCCCTGAGCTTCACCAATACGGGATCGCTTTCATCTCCCCTCGTCGGCGCTTCCTGCTTGCGATGATCAACAGTCCCGTCGACGTCGTCGCAGCAGCACGCAAGGAGCACGCAAGGACCCAAAGGAACGCCAAGACATCTTTGCGGAGGTTGCTGCTGCCTCATCTTGGGAATGGACCGAGATGGACCGAGCATCATCGAAACAGCCTCAATGCAGCTTTCAGACGCCGTGCGTGGGCTCGCCGAGCCCACCGGGTACACCAGCTACTTTGGCCAGCTTGGCCCATGCTATGCCTTGCCCTGTGTGGAGAGTGATCGTCGAAGTGTCCTTGGATTCGATCTGCAATAAATCCGCGTATACGTCTGCCCATTGCTTGTGCCGCTTGGAGCCCGGTTCAAAAAAGACATTCCGACCCTCGCCACCCAGCTGTGGTGGTGCAGGCGTCGCAGCTTGTACCATGTCGAGGAGTAGCCGACGGCACCGACTTATCGACTGCATTGCTCGTGCAACTTCGCGCTCCAAGTCAGGCAGGTCTTTTGTGCCTGCATAGCTTCTCTCGGCGTCAAGCGCCGCCACCGTCGCCTCGACACATCGCACCAAAGCCTTTTGGAGACCTCTTGGAGTTGAAGATCGAAGCGACGCCAGAACCTGCTGAGCATCTCGTGTCCGGCGCTCTGTAGCTCGAGCATGCTCAAGACTTGCATCTGTTTCCCGTCTCTGAATGCAGGCTTGCAGCGCTCCCCGGTGCATTTTCTTGGCAGTGATGCGAAGCATGGCTGCTTGGGCTTGGAGCTGTAGGTCAGTCCTCTGCAGCAACCGTTGCTCTTCCACGATCTCCGGATAGTGGGCTGTGGCTGTCTTCTCCTCAACCTCAACCTTCTCCTCGGCCGAGCGAAGAAATGCGCTTGCACTCTTCCAGTTCTCAGGGTTGGTCTTCCGGCCACGGGCTCCAAGCGGCGGATGTGCTTGGACAGTGACATCGGATGCTCCTTCTCTCTCAGTACGCGAAGCGCCGAAATCCTGTGCTGGGTGCTCTTGAAGGCTCCCCGCATCCAGGGCATCACCTGTCTCTTCTGAGAAGGGGGCGTCAACCGTGGTAGCAACCTCTGGACATTTTGAGTGGTCAACTGAGTGCACCGATTGTGCCTTCGACGCCTCTTGGCTTTGGAGTTGATGTTGCCGGACTGATTTCGACACATTCTCAAGGAAAGATGAAAGCAACTCTTCGCTGTCATCTGCACTGGTCAACTCGCGTCCTTCAGTTGCTTCTTGCAAAAGCGAGCCTGAATTTTCTGCGGTGGCATTCAGGATCGTCTGGAGATGTTGTTGAAGGGCATGTGAGGTGTCGCATTTCTTCTGCCTCTGCACCGCTACGACAGCCCGTGCACCATAACCTCTCCCTGTGTCCGGCTTCCCCAACATTTCCGGTGATGATCTTGCATCTGCAACACGAGGTGATTTGCTTGGAGAAGGCACGTCTGGCATCCTGGATTGTAGTCCTTGGTCCGCCGCTTCGCGCTCAATCTCAGGGCTGCTGGCCATAGCAGAGGTCGCTGCTGCTAAGTGCGCGCCGGCAGCAAGAAATAACTCCAGATGGTCTCGGAAGCCATCGTTGCTTTCCGTTTCGGGCAGTATCGAGTCTGAGGGACCGTGACCATGCATTGCTGGGTCTGGTGGAATCTGGTGTTTCATGGCTTTGCTGCATGGTAGTCCATCTGCAACTAATTCCAAGCTGGCCATACATTCGGCACAGCGGCATCCGAGGCCATACCTCTCCGAGCATCTTGCCCAGGTCACGATTTCCGAGGTGTTGTTCCAAGATTCAAACATCCTGTGCTGAGTGCTGTAGATGCCAAGCACGGCAAGCTTGCGCTGAAGGCTCGCTGCCTGAATGGCCGATCCCTTTTCTGCTCGCTCCAACTCGCCGCTCAGTGCCGTGAACTTCTTGCCACAGTTGGACTCGATGAAGGTGTGCCTCAGCTCTCAGCTCTCCAAGACCACCGCAAGTCTAGAGTCTAGAGCTCTGTCGACTCGTTGCAACTCGGCCGCAAGTGGTGTGCCAGTTGAGTTGCACGATTCGCACGACCGAGGGCCCCCAGCGTATCATGTGCATCTTGCACCTCCGGCTCCACCCAGCCGCTGCCAGAGCCCCATGCCATGCAAGAAGAACCAAGACAAACGGCCTCTATCCTTGACCCATCCTGCACAAAGGCTGACAAACGGCTTCGCAATAAAACCCCAAAGGCTTGACGCGGCCAATTTGCCAACGACTGCGCACATCAAAACCACCTGCTGGACGGTGCTGTCTCGGCTCCCTGCTGTCCCTGCTGCACATTCGCGACAGGCCTGGTTGGCTCAGACGGTGGCAGTTTGCCGGCAAAGCTACGCAAAGCCCTGGCCACCTCAATCTTTGAGGAGGGTCTTCGCAACAAATTCGGATGGGCGCCTGGGAGGGCAGCGCAACAGCGCAAAGACCAGACAGCAAAGGAGCAATTCACTGAGTCACTGTTGCCGTTGCACCTGTTGTAGGCCCCGGTGGTGGCGGAGGGGCGTGGGTGCAGCCCATGACCTGTTCATCATTTTTGCAAAAACATCTCGCTGATGGCAGAAGAATCGTGGGCTCATATCGCAGGTGTCCCAACCTTCCCGCTTGCCTGTTCGCAGCTTCCGCCTGGCGCCCGGCGCCGGACAAGAAGCCCACGTCTGAGCTGCGGAGAAATAAACCAGTAGCTCTCTTGCGAGATCTTCGGCCGTCTCGGGTGCCGCAGAATTTCTGAAGATATCCCAACGACCCTTTTGCTCCGAGGTGTCTCCTGTGTAACATCGATGGACTCCCTTTGGGAGTACATCAGTACATGTACAACTTCGGCCGGAAGCATCGGGCATGCCGCACAGACTGGATTGAAACAAGGAAACATTACAACAATCTGTGCCGATTCGATGTTTTGTTGCTCACTCCTCGTCACCTTCAGGAATTGCAGGACTCACGGCCTCAGATTGACGTGATGCAGGAGCATTGGAAAGCCCGCCGTAGAACTTTCAGAAGGGGTGCCATTGGCCTCTTCTCCTGCTTCGAGCCGAACATCCCCTCCACCCTCGGCTCGGGAACAGCTTGCAAAGTGACAGATAGAGCACGTGCGGAAATCTTGATTTCGACTCAAGCAGTCGCAGGCGGCAGGCAAGGAGTCACGACGACTGGTCGCAGAGGGAACATGACGTGACATGAGGGACGTGGCACTGCAGATGCCAGCCAGCATCAAGAACCAGACCCAAGAACCACTGCAAATCTTGAATTAAGTCGCTTGGGCGAGTTGTCCTCAACCAGCTGTTGCTGCTCCTTCTCCTTCTCTTTGAGCATGGCTTCGACTTCGCTGATCTCGTCTGCAGGCCTCATTGCACCAAGCAGACGTTGGGTGAACAGCGCTTCAACAGACTGCTGTGACAGCAGGCCTGGCTAGCTCGGCCTGCTCAATGTCAACATCTGGCTCGAATCTGTCCACATCCGACGGCTCGGCTTCAGCAGCCCCGTCACCGGATTCGCTCTTCAGCTTCTCTTTGCGCATTGCCTCTACTTCACTTGCTGCCTGCTTCTGCCTGCCCCAAGCCAAGCAAACAACGAGAAAGAGCAGCAGCAGGAAATCGTGGGCCACCTGAACTTGGCTTGGATTTTGGTGGCGGCTTGGGCAGTCTCGTCGTCCATGGGGATGTCGATGTCTTTGTCCGCGGCACTGTGCATCTCTTCTTTCTCCCTGCGTTTTGCCTCCACCTCACCTGCCGCCTGCTTTTGCCTGGCGGGGTACAGCATGCTGCTGAAATACACAAACAAGACCGATGACAACGCAGACGGCCTGAACTTCGCTTGGATTTTCGTGGCGGCTTGGGCAGTCTCGTCGTCCATGGGGATGTCGATTTCGTCGTCCGCGGCACTGTGCATCTCTTCTTTCTCCCTGCGTTTTGCCTCCACCTCACCTGCCGCCTGCTTTTGCCTGGCGGGGTACAGCATGCTGCTGAAATACACAAACAAGACCGATGACAACGCAGACGGCCTGAACTTCGCTTGGATTTTCGTGGCGGCTTGGGCAGTCTCGTCGTCCATGGGGATGTCGATTTCGTCGTCCGCGGCACTGTGCATCTCTTCTTTCTCCCTGCGTTTTGCCTCCACCTCACCTGCCGCCTGCTTTTGCCTGGAGGGGTACAGCATGCTGCTGAAATACACAAACAAGACCGATGACAACGCAGACCGCCTGAACTTCGCTTGGATTTTGGTGGCGGCTTGGGCAGTCTCGTCGTTCATGGGGATGTCGATTTCATTTTCCGCGGCATCGTGCATCTTTTCTTTCTCTCTGCGCTTCGCGTCTACCTCGCCTGCCGCCTGCTTTTGCCTCGCGGGATACAGCAGGCTGCTGAAAGACACAAACAAGACAGATGACAACACCATACAACACCGACCGCCTGAACTTCGCTTGGATTTTGGTGGCGGCGTGGGCAGTCTCGTCGTTCATGGGGATGTCGATTTCAGTGTCGGATATGCCAGGCACACCGTCTTTGGCAGCGAGTTGGACATTGACAACAGCCCGCCCGTTGGCTTCAAGGACAACGTCAACCTTCACAGAGATCCGCTGGCGGAACTCCTCCAACCTCTGCCTTCGGCTTTGCTCCCTGTAGAGCAGAACTGGCAAAGCAGAGCAGCAACGGATTTTGGGAAAGCTCGTTCAGTGACAACAACTGCCCACCTGTTAGAGCACGCCTGCGCATGTTTCTGACGCATGCCCTCCACTTCGCCGGCCGCCTGCTTCTGCCTTCAGAGTGAGGCTCCGTGTCTGTTCTCCCCAATGTTCACCAACACCACTTCACTCCTGTAGATCTCACAGGACCTAGACTTGTGTGAACGTTTCTGTCTCGTGTGCAGAGCGCAAGTATGGGAAGGTGCATATTCGCTCCCACGTCACGGAAGCACATCGTGCAACTGCCACGCATCGACTCGGTGCCTGAATCTGGCCTGAATCTTGGTGGCAGAGGCTGCTTCTTGCTCCTGGAGCAGGGTGGTCAGCGGGGACGTGCTCCATCCCTGCATCGCTGCAATTCAAGAAGCTCCTTCTGACGGCGCTCGGCAACCCTGTGACGATATCGAGATTGAATGGCCTCTTGCTGAATCGCTGGGTTGCTGCACAGACCCTGACAGTCGACACTCGACGACCCTGGACATAAACCAGTTCACTTAGTTCACTTAGGGTGACGAGATGTCAGAGACCAGCGCAGATCCTCCTCTGGGCGAGTTAAGCTCGCCGGGCACTAAAGCGGATCCTCTTGCTTGCTTGCTTGCTGACTGGTATGAGGGCCGGAGCCGGATCCTCTCTCTCTCTCTTTCGCCCCCGGTTGAGAGCCCGCGCTCCAAGCCCACCCGCACTGTGTTCGTGTGAGGATACGGGGGGTGACGAACAAGCATAACTTCTGAGGCTCTCTCTCTCTCTCTCTTTCTCTCTCTCTCTCTCTTTCTTTCTGCTGGGCTTAAGGGTCGCATGCGACCCCAAGGCACTCGGCCCGCCCAACCACCCCCTGGTATTATGGCATTATGGAGTGGCTGGTTTCTGGGGTATTCCTGATTACCGCACTGTACTACCCAGTGTGTTCTGGGTTCCCCCGAACACTAAACACAAACACAACCCCCGCCTCGTCCCCGCGCCGCTGTGGCTATCAGTCCTTGCTTTCTGCGGTCTCCTTCTTGCTCTGGCTGAGGATCTCGGGGTCGTCTGGCCGGTGGCTCCCCCGCAGGCTCGGAGGGGCGCCTTTGGTTTGCCTCTCGGTCTGACGGTCTTCCCTCAGCTCCCCATGGCCATTGCACGTCACCACCTTGGTCTTGTTCATCATCTTCCCGGCTGTCCTCGTCGGTGCTCCCCCAGTCGGGTGGCGTTTCCTCAGTCCTTGTCTCCGTCACGGGGGCGGGAGCGCTGCGCTCCTCAGTCCCCCGCGTGGTCACTGGCGGGGCGCGGCTTGCCTGAGCTCCCCCTTCCCACGCTGTGCTTGCTTCTTCTTCTTCACCTCGCGGGCATCCTTCAGGAGTCTTGGGATTTGGTGAGGGAAACGCATTATGTAGGCACGCGTTTCGTTGGCGATGCGGGGCAAGAACTCGTCCGTGATCTTCACCAACTTGTCTGCCGCTGCTCCCAGGGCTTGGCGGTTGCGAAGCCTCCCCCTGTAGCTAGCGTAGGCCTCCTGGTCGTCTTCCCCCAGTGGCTCCCCCTTCTCATCATAGAGCTCGCCGGTCTCGTCATTGTGCTGCACGTTGCGCCCGATCCACGTATCGAGCGGGCTTGGGAGGAAAAGCAGGTGGAGTCCCCCCCTTGTCTCATGCTGCACCTTAAAGTTAAGCCTCGGTGCACGCCTTGAGGAAGAACTGGCTTCCCCCCCACCTTCGTCCTGTTGTGCCGTTCGTGGTCTCCCCTTTGGCTGGGGCTCGCCACTGACACATTGGCCATGCTTGCCACCCCGTGCAACCGACGCGCTGGATCACTTCTCACATGCACCTTTCTCATGCCGGGCTTGCAGATCCCCCCCAACCTCCCTGCACAATCGGCAGTGCATCTTCCCAGGACCCCCCCTACTGACGGGCCACCCCCCGAAGGAGGGCCGTGGTCAGGGGGTCCGGTGAGCGAAGAACCCTGGGGCCTCTTGAGCAAAATGGGCAGCGGCGTGTGACTCAAGCGCCGCAGGGAAAGGCAGCACGGCTCTCCTGAGGTGTAGGGTTTACAGCCCCCCAAGGCAAAGGTGCGGACACTTGAGCCAAAATGGCTCTCTCTCTCTCTCTCTCTGAGTCTCTCTGTGTCTCTCTCTCTCTCTCTTGCTTGCTTGCTTGCTTGCTTGCTTGCAAGGCGTTTGGGAGGTGGGGTTCAGGCCATAATAACACGATAGGGGGGGGAGCCCTACGCCACTGTTCGAGTTCGCTCTCTCTCTCTCTCTCTCTCTCTCTCTCTCTCTCTCTTTCTCTCTCTCTCTCTCTCTCTCTCGCTCGCTCGCTCGCTCGCTCGCTTCAGGGGTAAGGTCCACAGGACCCGGGCCTAGGCCCCCCTTTCTTCACACGATTGTGGAAGAGGGGCATTGGGGTCATCGTAGCCGGAGAATTTCCCCAGTGGATTGTGTGAGTTGTGGAGATTGCCTGGTGGAGAAACCCCCCAAACCCTGAACACTAGCCCGCATCCCGGCCTCATCCCCGCGCCCTCTATGGCAAGTTCCTTAGTCCCTACACCAGGCAATTTCCCCCCACTTCGAACAAGCATACGGTGGCAGCCCCCCTGTAAAATGCAAACACTCCGAGGACCAAGCAAAACATAAGAGTTACGTAGGGTACGCAGAACAAAGTGTAGGCTGGCTCCCCCCGTTGCAAAAGGCTTCTATCTGGGTTCCTATTCAAAGGTTGAGCGAAAAGGTCGGCGGGACTCAGTCTCGTTGCCAATTCTGTGCATTCGGTGCAAGGTTGGGGCATATGGCCCCGTTGGCCATAGGTTTGTATGGCTCTAGCGGCCCGTCTTGAATTAAGCGCTGTAGGAAAACGGCCCTTTACCTTGAGGCCCCACTCGGACATGGAAAATTTTTGCCACGCTCACTCCGCTGCACGTCTCTGTCTTGCCATGTGGTTCTGAACCTGTTGAATTTGCCATCGCATGCTTGGTACCAGCTCAACTAGGCTGGTCTCCAAGAAGGGGCTCCACTGGCTGGCTGTCCCCTCCTTGCTGGAGGGTCCCCCACAGGTTCACTAGGCTGGTCTCCGAGAAGGCGGCGGCGCTTCGGCTCCCCCGCGGGCTCACTTGGTCGTCGTCGGCCACCCCCGTCTCTGCTTGGTCGGTTCGGTGGCTCCCCCGCAGGTTCGTTTGGCCGTTGTTGGCCACTGGTTCTATCCGATGGCCTGCCTTCGGGACCCCATGGCCATTGCGTGTCTCCCCCTCCTTGGTCTTCACGTTCTTCGCGGTCGCCTTTCTCCCAAAGCTCCGGTTCCTCTTCTGCAACGGCGTCTCTGTTTGGGCTTTCATCTGTGCTCCCCCAGTCCGGCGGCGTGTCTGAGTCACTGTGCTCCTTTGTCACACTGCCTCCCGGTTCCCCCTCCACTGCTTGGGCTGGCACTGACTGCTGCGCCGAAGGTGTGGAGCTGGTCGCTCCCCCCCGGCCCTCCTCCGTCGCAGCGCCCAAGCTTTTTCCAGAAGCGCCGGCACTTTCTCTGGGAATCTCATCGTGAAAACTCTGTTTTCGGCCGCCACGTGAGGCAACCATTTGTCGACGATGCGTACAAGGCGGTCGGCTTGGTCTCCTAGGCGGTACCGGTGGGATAGCCTCGCCTGATAGGCGGCATACTCCCCCGCCTGCTGTGGCGTCAAGGGTTCTCCCGACGATGCAAGGAAGAGCTCCCCCTCGTCGTTGGTCTTGACCTCTTTGTTCACCCACAGGTCCAGCGTGTCTGGCGGGAAAAACAAATGCAATCCCCCCTCTGTTCTGAAAGCCGTCCTGGCGTTCAGCGCGCTCTCCTCGGGATTTGCCGCGGGCTCCGGTGGAGGTGTGTAGCTGGCATCCCCCACACGGATATTTCTGCGTTCGGTCACCCCGTGCAAGCGGCATTGAGGATCGCTTCGCACGTGCACCTTACGGAGCCCCGGCTGGCACACACACACACACACTCTCTCTCTCTCTCTCTCTCTCTCTCTCTCTCTCTCTCTCTCTCTCTCTCTCTCTCTCTCTCTTATGCTTTGTTTCATTCTTTCTCTGGAGCCTAGGGGTCTGGTCGGGTTTAGCAGTAGGGGCCGTCTTCTTCTTCCCTCAGCCCTTCTTGCAGCTGCATCCAGATGGTCCCACTACCGTAGGATGTGCCTGAGAACATCACCACACCATGCCACACCTAGCACATCGCCAAATAGCACCGTCACACCATTTGGACTTTTTCGGATTGCAGCCATCAGGAACAAAGCTTGAGAATCTGCATCCTGCCCGTGAGCGGCATATTCCCGTGCTTGCGTTCATCAGGCGGCCCCAAGGATAATGGGAACTGGTAGCCGAATAGCCGCTAGACTAGACAAAGGCATGTGGCGCAAACTCTGACTGCGAGCCAGGGTGCTGTTGCAGCCTTAGTCAAGCCAGAACTAGTGCCCACACCCAGGTTGGGAGCCTGCGCTCAGAAAGTCCCTCGCTACTCCTGTGATGGTGTCCTTTTGCGGGGAACTCGGAAAAGAAGAGGTACTCCAAGTAGTACTCACGACTGCAGTATAGGCTTGGGCATCAAACAAGCACCGACTCATTTTCGAACTCCGAAACTCGAGAAGATGAGACAAGAAGAGAGGAAGCGTTTCAGAATGGAAGATCTGCGACTCGCTCAACCGCCTTCACCTGGTCGAGTCTAGTCTAGGAGTCCAGTCTAGGAGTCGACGAGTCAAGGTTTCGGAAAGCGTTCTAATATGTTCTCATATTGGTATGTTCTCATAGGCTTCGAATTAAGTTGAGCTGCCTGCTTCTGTTCGCGCATCTCCTGTACCTGCTTGTTGGCTTGCCGTCCACGATACTTGGCTTGGATCCTGGCCACGAGTCGCCATGGGCCCCTGGACGTGTCATTCGTCTCCCATCTCGCTACACAAGGTCCTTGCAGCAGCATCACTCTCTTCCTTTTGTTGCTTCTTGATTCTTTGAACTTCGTCTGCTGCTTGCTTCCTTAGCAACTGCGGTAAGGGCGTGCAGGCAGTCTCCGGAACAGTGGCTCTGCGGTGAAACCCACAGGAATTCATGCGTGCCCCAAAAATCTCAAAGGATGCCTCAGCCTCATATGCAGCATCATCTAGCAATTGCTATCCAATCGTGTGGGGTACAAGTACGACAATCTGATACGGTATGGTATGTGGTCCTGTTTCTGTCACTAACCACGGATCGTTTGCTGCAAGGCCTCTGCCGGAACCTTGCCTGAATCTTCGTTGCTGCCGACTCCTGCGTGTCCGAACGTGCCCGCACGCCGCAGGCAAATAACACGAAGTCCAGGACAAACGAAGGCAGCGTGAACTATGAACTGTTTCGAGGCTTCCTCTCCACCGCTACGAACTTTGAACAAGCGCTTGGAGGGCGACGTTGATGCAGCAAACATAGTTGACCACGAGCTTTCGGATTTGCGCTGGTACAGGCTTAACTCCGGAAAACTGATGCGTCCAAAAGTTTTCACGTGCGTGTCTGGGCGGGGAGGTTGAACTGTCAACATAATCGGCGAGCCTCCTCCCTCATTTGCTGAAGGCTTCGAAGGCTGCGAACACCGTTCACGAGAGCCTCGTCCAAAGATAGCGACCAACCCCAACGCTAAGCCGCTAAGGTTATGCTGCCTGATGTTCTCTGCAACCCTCTCGCGTGCCTCAGGGGGTGGAGAGTCTGCCTGGGCGCATCTCGCAGTGAATGCAGGCTCCCGCTCGAGGCGACTACAAGCCATAAGTGCTTCCTCAGGTGGGTACATCTCGCATGGCTTCGTAATCTCGAACAGACTTGGCAACCCTCACGCGCAAGAGCAGAGGCGGGATGATGACCTGTCGTCTCAGCACAGCGACCCTCTCGATCCAAGAGTAGGATCAGCAGGGGCAAGAGTGCAGCGGCAGCAAGGCAGCAACAACGCAGCATGACAGCTACGAGCAATACCAGCACCTGTTCGTAGAGCCGCATGAAAAGCAGCAATGCTGTTGTTATCGCAAGTCCTATGACTGTCATCATTCGTCGATGGTAGATAGACGAAACTGATCGTCGTTGCACTCCTCCTCTTCCAAGCAACCACTACCACTACCAAGACTACTACTACTATTGCTTCTACTACTACTTCGGGATTTGGCCTGATTTGACGCCATGTTTTTCCTGTCTTTAAGACTTCCACGACTTTGTTTGAGGGCCTGGATGTGTTGGCATTTACAGTATTTCACTGTTTATATGTCTTTATCTCTATTAACAAGGACCATGCAGACCCGAGCGTCTTAACGACCTAAAATACAATCATAAGACCTTGCACGACTTTGTTTGCGGGCCTGAATGTGCTGGTATTTACATCTTTCCTTTGCCGCGAAAACGTGGGTGGCCTCGGGGGGGGGGGGGTGCGGGGGCGGGTGGGGGGGGGGGGGCTAATCGCGATCATGTTCAGCAACATCATCATACTCATCAACATCATCATACTCATCAAGATCATTATTGACCTGGGGTGGGGGGGTGGGGGAGGCTAATCGCGAGCATGTTCAACAACATCCTCATCATTACTCATCAACATCATCATGCTCAATCGACATCATCATCACAACGCTCAATAGCTGAGCCTTCAGATCACGGATAATTTGCCCGCCTATGCTCGGACACGTCTCCTGACGGTGTCCCGTCTGACCGCACAGCCGGCATGCATGCTTCGCTTGAGGCATGACTTCCACTTGAACAAAAAAATACCACGTTTCAGGGCGCTCGGTTCGGAGCAACGTTTGAATGCTGAAATGCCGTCCCTGCTGTGTTTTTCTGCACGTGAATGAACAAAAAGCGCGGCGTCAAATACGCCCAGAGCGCGAACTACTTCTACTACTACTACCACTACTACTTTTACTTCTCCTGCTCCTGCTCCTGCTCCTGCTCCCACTCCTACTCCTACTCCTACCCCTGCCCCTACTCCTACTGCTAGTACTACTACTACTACTACTACTACTACCCCTACTACCACTACCACTACTCCTGCTCCTGCTGCTGCTGCTGCTACTACTACTACTACTACTACTACTAACTCCTCCTCCTCCTCCTCCTCCTCCTCCTCCTCCTACTGCGACCGCGGCTGCGACTGCCACTGCGACTGCTCCTGCTCCTGCTCATGCTGCTGCTGCAGTTGTTGTTGTTGCTGTTGTTGTAAAGCAGCACAAGTAGCGAAAGCATTTCTGTTGATGGCAATTAAATCTTCACGGCAAGCCTTGCAAGGCTTAACACAGAGCGAAAGAGGTCTTGAGCAGAAAAATTAACACAATGCTCGACGGGCCGGTTGGGAAAGGATCCGCCTGCATATTGCAGGAAGTTCTTCAATGCAAACTTTGCGCAAGGCGCATCTCCCATTTGCAAACACGATGTTGTAATGACGGGTTCGGGTTTGGAAAGGACCAGGATTCGTGAAGGTTTTCATGGCAGGCGTTGCAAGCCTAGAAAAGTGGGGGTTCGGGGGCGCACAAGCCTTTTGAACCTGAAATCAGTTACCACCGAGAACGATTACATATGGTTGTTCCCTTTGCTTCGGTCGAGTTTTCAAAGGGGAGCCCTATGGACAGCTTCTCCTCCCCCTTTCCACCGGCCAGACTCTATAAGAAAGTGTTTATTTCAGTTTCGTCTTAGTTGCTGAGTTCATAGGCCCCCAAAAAGTGTACACTTTTAGTTTTATTGTGGTTGATATTACCCCAAAAAGTGCAAAGTGTATCCACTCAGCTACTAAGTTGTTGATGTTTACACCTCACAAGCGAGAACGTACAGCTTCTCCCTCTGTTTGCGCCAACGTAAGGAGGGGCTTAAATCCGAGAGGAGGCCCACATCCAACCAGTAGCAAGAATGACGGCTTGCAGTCGTAGCTTCGGTGTAGCGGCAAAAGCCGGCAAGTGAAGTCTTGAGTGCAGCAGTCGCGTGCGCACAGAAGGTCGGTCCTCTTCGTCCTCCCCACCATGCGTCGCATCATGCGACCTAGGCGACTGCAACGCGCCACACCATCAGGGTGCTGATGCCATGTCGCACCAACACTGGAGGCATGGCTGTCCACTGCATGCGCGTCTCAACACGGGCTCGATCTCGGCAAACCCGCGGCTGGCCATGTCGTAAGCCTCCAAGGCAAATGGATCGGCATCACATTGGCCCAATGTCGTCTAAGACTCCAAAGTCTATGTTGGAGGCGACCGTGTGCTTCTTCCTTTGTGTGGGCACGACTGAACCGAAAGAATCCATCAGTCCAAGTTGTCTCCAAATGCTCAAAGCAAGAACGAGCCTTGTCATACAATGCCGGGGTCGGGCGCGCGTCTGAGAAATGCCTTACAATGCAGACTTCGGCTGCAACAAATATCAAAGCTCATCCTGACGTAGCATGCTGGCATCCACGTTGCCCCGGAATGCGTGCTTTTCGCTGCAGGCCCGCCTGACACCGATCCGCGGCTCAAGGCTGGTCAGTCGAGGCCTACGGCATCCTGCGGCCTACGCAACCAGGGCAAGCAGCTTCGACAAGAATCGAGCAGGACGCTCTGAAAAGGCACAAAGCAAAGACGAACCACAACGGAAACATGCACTGCAATGTGGCAACTGCTGTAAACTTAGGGCATATTCTTGTTTGCCTCCTGTGTGGCTGAATACACATGAATACTCCAACAGTATGGTGAATTAGACCCACCTTAGTGTGAAGGTCATGTTGACTGCTTTCCAGCTGAACCCTATCAGTTGATAGACTTTCAAAGACGGTTTAATCAACAATGTATGGTGCTAGTGTCACACATCAATTCATGTCAGACCTGCAGCAGTTTGCTCATGCAGAAAGCCACGTGACCCCATTCCCAGCAGCATTGTCCAGTAAAGGCTGACAGTGAGAGTACGGGTCATGACCATAGATACAAGTCACAGGAATGTCGAATTCACCAAGTCCTCCACCATTAGAGCCTGCCTGCTCTGCAGTGTGCCTGAATATATGCCTCCACGCAGGATTCAGTAAGTACAACTTAGTCAGAAGTGAGAATCAACTTCGGGGGTAGGTTTTGGGGAAGTGGAGGAAGTGTCGAGAAATATTGCCTCCAGAGAATGCTCACTGTCAGTTCTATACTCTATACGACAAGGTTTGCAGGTGGTGGTAGATGTGATGCACAGCAGCCGAAATCATCGCGGACACCGGGTCTCCCGATAAAGAAACTTGCCAATACACTGGCAGCGTGGGCATCACTTCCGAGCCCGAGCAAGAGGAGTCGAAAAAGTGACGTCAACACAGTTCAACACAGGACAACTGCAGCCAAAAGGTCAAGCTCACGAAGGTTTTGGCCACGTCCGGCAGGCAAGACTAATGCCCGGCCAACGATCGCAGACGCGGGCCCTGTTCAGCAAGCCTCGGTGGCAGTCTGCTTTCTTGGGGCCAAGGACTCTGTGATCCTGGATGCATAAAGTGCCCGCCGGAGACCTGGCTCGTGGCTCGGGGAATCAACACACGATCCCGCACCGCTCTTCAGCGCTTGGTGCCTCCTCCATTTTTAGTCGGTCTGCAGGTGGGCGGAGTGGGCAGCTGCCTTAATGGATATTCATGCCGGTTGAGACGTAAAGCACCAGGACTGCAAGGCATCCGAGAGGCTTTGACACGAAATTTGCGACTTCTCCAGACCAGCTCCACTCCATGGCGTGTGTCCCTAAATTATATGCGCATTTAAAATTTTACGTGCATGCTTTGTAAATGTATTCCCTCATCGTGTCCGTCACCTGACAAACCCAACCTTCAATACTTGAAGAATCGGCTTGCCAACTACTGCAGCACTGCGGATGAGCAGCGGCGCTGGGGACGTCACGCCATCAAGATGTGAGGCTGATGTTGCACCACAGGCATATCGTCCGTTTAGAGTCCTCGTTGCTCACTCTGCCTCACTGCATTGCCACTGCCACTGTCTGGCTTTCCTCGTACAAGGTGCGTAGCATATGCACGGTGCAGAATTCTCACCGCTCCGCACGGCGAAAGCTGGCAATGATGACATTCCAATGGCCACCACCGTCTTGCGCCAAGTCGTTAAATGACCCCGGCTTCGCCGGCGCAAACATGAAAGCTGCACAAAGCAGCCAGCTGTCAGACACCCAAGGACCAGCGTCATGAACGCTTGTCCTTATCTATCGTTCCAACTTGTAGGTTATAAAGATCTGATGCTTCCCGCAGACAGAATGATGAAGACTCTGTCTCTACTGCGCTCATCTACTGGTCGCACGCTTAGGTTTTGTAGGGAGCTTGTGCTTACTTTCCAATGCAAGTACAATGATCCCCCCCGCGTGCGAGGCGCCCTTCGGTCGCTGAGCATCCGCTGCCAGGAAACCCGAGTCGAGGCCTAGACTGAGGAACTTCGTGGACCTGCGAAGCGCTAGATTCGCGCCTGTCACCCCGCCACTAGCAGTCACTAGCAGTGCCCTTGCATTGGCCCTTGCAAACTGTGCCTCAGCGCAACTCTTCCCAGACTCTTCCACGGTGCCCTGGACAAAGACTTTGGACTTTGCATCCTGCCCTGTTTGGTGCTTCCTTGCCTGGCCTCTGTGTGTCTGAGGCCTGAAATCCGCACCTTGCTGATGTATGAGTCGATTCATGGTGTGTAGGGCATTCCAGGCGCCTGAGAGCCATCCTCGAAGACGATCTTCGCAGTGGAGCGCCTTGAACTTATTGACGCAACTGTGTGGAGACGGCAGCATAATGCAGGATATCGAAACTTTGTCACGCTTGGGTCTCTACACATCACCGAGTGTCTTCAGAAAGTCCAGTAAAGCTTCATCCTGCGAAACTCGCTTCGTAAGCTCTTGAGTGCTCAACTCATAGGAGTCCTGTCCCCAATCCGCCAACGCGACCTCCTGCACGTTAGGCAGCTCCTGTCATTCGGCTCGGTACCACCAGCCAACACTCTCGCATTATCTGCCCCTGCCTCCAGCAAGGACCGGAGAACGTGCCACGCAACCACAGGAAAACCATGGACCTCAAGCTGAGATGCACGAACCGAAGATAGGGCTTGGATTCTGCTGCACTCCGCACCTCCAAGCGCCTGTATCTGTGGCAGCCTTCAGAAGCCTGGCAAGCAAAAGGCAAAGACCATCTGTCTCTCTCTCTCTCTCTCTTGCCTCTCTCTCTCTCTCTCTCTCTCTCTCTCTCCCTCCCTCTCTGTCTCTGATTGAATCTCCGCATACATTTTGTGATAATTTTGCAGTAGCTATTGATGCTATCTCCGGCTGTTTAGCAAACCATTTTTGCGGGCTTATGTGCGGTGGCAACTTCAACGTTCATCTCTTCCTGGACTTTGTGATCCCGATCAGGCGTGAGTCATGGAGGAAAACGCAGGGAAACCATTGCTCAGCACGGCAAGATTCGGAGTGCATCTGCGGTGCTCCTAGTTGCATGTGGTATGTGTGCACTTGCAACACGTGCCTCAGTTTGGCAAAGACCTCAAAAGACACGCGCAGCTCAATGCTGCAACATCGGTGTGTGGGCGAAAGCACCTTCTCTCTCCCTCTGTCTCCTGTCGTTGAAACTGCATCACAGAGTAGCTTATGGAGTTTGGGCTTCGCGCACTTGTGGCACACGCACCACATGCTAGCCGACGCGGCCCAATAAATTCTCAAGTCGTAGGGTCGCGTCTCTGAATCGAAGACGCCCAACTTTTGGCCGAGCTGGGGCCCACAACACGAGGCGGCGTAACACGTCGTCCGTCACAATGACTCGCACGCTGCCGTGTTGCTCCGATGCGGTGCATTCGGACACGCTAGCTGCTGTTTCCGGAGCGAAAAACTCGACCAGCAATACCTCTAGGTGTCTCGGAGGCATGAACAAGCCCTCACGAGGCATTGGATGATTGCAGCTGTTGTGCAGATGTCCCAGCCGGCCACAGTAGTCCTGCCTCTCTCAGCATGTCCAATATTTCTGCAGGGTTTCCCGCCAGATCGACGATGTAGGTCTGAGAGCTTCCGAAACGTATTCAACGGATGAATGCCGCTTCGACTCCCTTGCCACAGTTGAGGTCCTGACCCCATCTTCTCTGCCTGCAGCAAGCCACATCTAGCAGCTCCACGGCATCGGCATGCAGCATGCAACCTTGTTGCTGCAGTGGAGCTAGCCGTACCTAGACAGATGCAGGACCACATTGCCAGTCACTTGAGGACGCTACACGCCTCGACCGAAGGAATGCGATGGTTCGCCTGACAGAGTTCAGAGTACTTCATCAAGCGACATGATGTGCGAGTGATCGTGATGGACTTTAGTCAAGTGCGACCTTGCGTACGGGTAGTAGCATCATGACAGAAGCGTCAATTGAAGACCCTGCCCTGTTTACTTCATGATCAGTATACAAAATCATCCCAGCAACACGTTGTTGGAAGCGCCTCCATAGCCAGCAGCTGGGCGCAGAAGCGAAGCGATGACGCGGTTGTGCTAGTCTGATGATCGTCCATCAGGAAATACGCGCTGCCACGAGCGGAGATTGGACCATGAGCCAAACTAGCCCTGTACATCCCTGTACTGTACTGTGTGGATGATTTCTTTGATGTCGGCAAACATATATCGACATGCCACGTGCAGAGCAGATGCATAGCTGCGTATCACAACATTCAGTTTCACCATCTTCAGATTCACCGACCTGCGAATTTATAGCCATCGCAGCACCTTGATTCAGCAAATGTACGGCGTGTGCCCACACCAGCTTCTGCAACAGTAGGCCAAGGCCGCTCCGAAGAAGCCCACCTGCCATTGTGAGGGCAGTCGGAACCCCAGTTCCAAGGCCTCCAGGATGTCTTGTCAAGATGAAACCTCTACCACTTTACCCCCGGCTTGGAGTGTGCCTTTTTTGCAAAACCCCGAACCCAAAATTGCTCAGATGAGGGCTCTTCTTGCTCTGTGGTTAAGCCTGCAATTCGCGGCCCAGAATGCAGAAATCCGGCAAGGCCTGGTCCAACTTGGCAAACTCTCCTGGTGTGCTTACATTCTGCAGCGCGATGTCCGATGCCAGCATCCCATATCCCAAGTTGTCGGCAGTATAGCGCCCTCGCACCAAGGGTTGGTACATGTTGTGGCCTAGGGTCTAGGGCTTGATATCAGTGCTCGGACGGATGATTG